CACTCACTTTATATACATTGAACATTTTAATCATCCCTGGCAGTGTACCTCCCAAGCTGAAAACTCCAGGAAGTGTTGCTTCTACTTAAATGAACACCTCTCTTAAAATCAAACTCATTACACTTGCATTTTTATTTCATGCCAATATACAGTGGAAATTGTCACCTGAAAACCTTTTGTTTATGGCTAGTAGGCCTAGAAATAGACCTCTTGAAACTTAAAACCCTGGAAGGCATTACATAGTTCTGGGTTAGAACCATCTGGCCCTAAGGGATGTTGGTGTACCCGCGGGGGCACCACTTATACTCATACCCAACCCGCTCCTGACTGTCCCAGTGAGGGTCAGAGTTCTTAGCTAGGTGAGGGTCTCCTAACTCTGGACAACAAATGTGTGGAGCACAAAAACGGGGCATATGTGGATTCCCTGTAAATTGAATCTTAATTATATAAAGCTATTTTTGGATGAGCTGGCGGCATACCCTCTGCTATAGAGAATGGATAAACATTCTATTTTATATTGATGTGATTTTATTATCATAAGCTAAATGGGCCTCTCTAAGCAACAGCTTCTCTTATCAAATATACTGCCAAGAAATAAGACCTAAGATCATTTACTCTCAAATACAAATCCTAATTTTTGGCAGAAGTCCTCCAATGTTAATTGGCTCATACTCACCATCTCTGTACAAATTGAGTAATTTAATTACTTAATGGTAGATTCTGCTTACTAATTTAACTTGGAGGGTTCACCAGGAAGGTATATTACTTAATACTAAACAATTCATAGGTGTATTACTGAAATGAGTGAATGGCAATCCTGATATGAAATTTTTCCATGGGAAAACCATTGTATATGGGACTAGATTTGGTTTTTTTAGGGAATTCTTGGCTCTGCCTCTACAGGCTACTACATCACCCTACTTGGTCATGGAAACGAAGTGGTCATCTACCATATTTACCAGCACAGAATATATATAACATGTAGGGAACATTCCCACCCACTTTACAAGGGGAATTTTTGGGGGGAAAAATTAAGAACTTTCATCACACATGATTTATAGGTAGAAAGTTGACTTTAAACTCTTCTAAAGTTTTTTTTAAATACTGAAAACCATTTTGTTCATACAAGAACAGTATATTGGAGTTAAAATGAGATAAGGAGAACTTCCTTTTGCTTTGCATCTTTTCAAGTTGACCACAGTACAGGTACATGGGATACAGAATAGTTTTTGTACATGTTTAGGCATGAGATGTGGGTACCCTGATTTTACTAAGAGGTTGTGAACCCTCCTGTTTGTCAAAGCATATGAATCTGTCCAAATAAATAATACCAAATATCTGTGTTTAGAGTTTAGGTCCTTCCCAGCGAATAGAATCTCAACACTGTATTGTTGCATGTCATTTTTAATGAAAAGCCTGGGGGTTGAGAAAAAGTCATAGAATATTGCCTGAAGGATACATAGTCTACTCATTCCTCTAAACTTTTGGCTTTGATTATTACATCTTTCCAGGCCAAAAGAGAGTCCCTACTTGGACCATGCTCTTTTGGCTCCTTGCTAACCTATATTTCCGACCATGCAGCCTAACTCTGGGCCTTTATTGAAAGTACTACAAAAGTAAACTGTTCAAAACTTGCTAAGTATTTCAAGAACGTTTCAAAAATTCAAAAATTTCTTAATACCTAACTTCTAATTCCTTTAAAAATTTTATGTCAAGCTTTAGCATCAGAGAAAAATGTTTCTCCTTATACTTTTTAAAGTAAAAATTGTATGTTTTTAAGGTGTACGATATGATGTTTTGATATACATAGTTAACTACAGTCAAGCTAATTAACATATCCACCTCTTCACAGTTACCTTATTTATATGTGATGAAAACATTTAAGATCTACTGTCTTGGCAAATTTCAAGTATACACTATTACTAACTATAGTCCTCAGTGCTATACGCTAGATCTCTAGATCTTATTCATCCTTTGTAACTGAAACTTTGTACCCTTTGATAAACATCTCTCCATTTCTCCTGCCCCTGTTCCTGGTAACTACCACTCTACTCTCTCCTTCGTCTATTTTAGATTCCATATGTGAGATCACACAGAATTTTTCTTCTGTGTCTGGCTTATTTCACTTAGCATAATGTCCTCCAGGTTTATCCATGCTATCAGAAGTGGTGTGATTTCTTTCTTTTTAATGGCTGCATAGTATTCTAGGGTGTGTGTCTGTGAAACAATTTATCCATTCATACATCCATGGACACTGAGGTTGTTTTCCTATCTGGGCTATGGTGAATAATGCTGCAATGAACATGGGAGTGCAGGTATCTCGAGATACTGCTTTCATTTCCATTGCATATATACCCAGAGCGGGACTTCTGGTTCATGTGGTAGTTTTATTTTTAATTTTTGAAGAATCTTCCTACAGTATTCCATATGGCTGTACTGATTAACATTCCCACCAACAGGTGTGTAAGTGTTTCCTTTTCTCCACATCCTTGAAAACACTTTTGTCTTTTTGATCACAGCCATTCTAACAGGTGATATCTCATTATGGGTTTGATCGGCATTTCCCCGATGATTAGTGATGTTGAGCATCTTTTCTTATACTTACTGGCCATCTGTATGTCGTCTTTGGAAAAATGTCAAGTCCTTTACCCATTTTCAATTAGGAAGTGTAATATCTCCAACTTTCCTCTTCTTGCTCACAATTGCTTTGGCTATTTCTGAGAATAATATAATTTTGGAATATTGATAGGGATTGTGTTGAATCCAGATTGTTTTGTGCAGCTTAGTAAGGTAGTATGGTGGATAATAAGTTCTAGTGCAAATTGGTGCATTCTTCTAGCAATTACATAGGCCCTCATAGTGAATTTTTATGTACTAACAACTGTACCCTTGCATTCATCTTACTAGCCAATTCTTATTGTCCCTTCATCCTAATTTCTTTACATATTTTAATATCTTTATCTTCTTATTAATATATGAATGTATGCAAGCTATCTCAAATGCCATTAGGAAAAACATGAAAATATGGGTGGAAATTAAATACAGATATTAAGTGATATTTATTACCATGTTGCAAAGTACACCAGTTATTTATGTATGTATTACTCTCTGAGTAGAAGATAAGAGTCTTGTCTTATATTGTTTTTACCCACAACTTGTACAGAAGAATGTTAAGAACATGCTCTGGATGTCAGGAAACCAAGACCCTCGGCGTTTAGCTCTCCAAGTAGCTCCATGAAGGGCATTGCACAAGTCAATTAACCCCTCAGGGCCTCAGTGACCACAGCACTAAAATGAATGAAGTGATTAAAAGGAATTATTCTCTCTTGTCCCCTACAGCCCTGTGGTTTTAATTCAAAGACAGTCTGTCTACATGGAGTGTGAATGTTTGCCTTTCTCTCCTTAAGCTAATTGAAGTTACTTGTCAAACCCAATTCTCTGAGATTGGATGGATGCTTTACTCTTCCTCTACGGCATTTTTCACTGGTTAATTCTTACCAGGCATTTATGGAAGTGCTAAATGTCACTGCAGCAATGCAGATAATAGCTAAAGGAGGAAAGAAACAATGTGACACAATCTCGTTGTGCAATACACTTTTATTTTCCTTTTACCTTTGCAGTCATCTTTGAGTAATCATGTAAACAATAGAATGGAATGAAATTACATGAAATTGTATGCAAATGGCTCTAGAACACCTTAACAATTATGACAAGGCAATTATAAATAACTTTTTTTTTCCTTAGTAATATATATTTGCTTTTTAAAGTAATTAAAGAGCTGCCGTATCTAGGATTAGCTAGGAAAGAGCAATGGTACCATCCCAGGAGCCCACCTCCCTGAAAGTTTAGACTCCAATTTTGAAAAATCCTAAGGTTTACTAGTTCCATAATATATAGTCAAGCAGAGGGCTACTTGGGTTGAAAGTATTTATTCTTGAAACTCAATAGCGTTTTACCTTTTAGTCATTGCACAAAACCCTTTCTATTATTTTCACTCCACCTAGGTATTCTGCAGAATTTCAAGTAAAACTCAGATTCTGGTATTTTCAAGTTTATCACCTTTAGAATAACAAATCCTATCACCAAATCAGAGATGGGTATATAGTTAACAATCTAACAGAATGGCAACATTTTACGTATCATTCTAAATGTTCCAATGAGGCAAAACTTAGCATATGCCACTTTGTGTAGAAGAAATTTTAGATCTGAGACTGTTCCAGAGTAAAGCAGCCTCAGGCACATTCTTAGTATGAAAGTTTACAAGGCACCTCCCTCTCCCAAAAGACAATCAGATTGTGAATTGGTTTTTAGGCAGACAAACCAAAAGGATAAGCATCCAAGTTCCTAATTCAGTCATTTCAAAAATGAGAAGTTACAAATACTCCAAAGATCGACCCAAAACTTTTTTGTTTAAATAACAAGAGATTAACTGCAAGAAGCATATAATCAAAAATTTTTCTTATAGCTAACGTGTGTAATGCATAAATATATGAAAAATAAAATTCACAGTTTTAAAACTAGAATTCAAGTTTGGCTAATAAATCTGAATTTTATAAGTATATTAATTTCTAAGTACAACATAAAAGAGGCAGTCTTGTCAGATGTACAATTAAAGTATTATAACAGAAATAACAATGAAAGAAGAAATAGGCTTCTGATAGAAAATTCCTTTTGTTGCCAATAAATAGGACCACCTGAGTATTTCAGATTCTTTTCACTTAAGGGATATCCAAATTGATTGCTAAGAATATTAAATAGCTTTTGGAAAAATTAGCAACAGTCGTGCAGCTGTGGCATTTGCTTGTTCTCGTACTGTGGATTGCTAGAGAATAAAGCAGAACTCAGAGTAAGTTTTAAAAAATTTTTTTTATCGCATTTTGTCGAAGCCGGCCTCTTCACAATCTTCTGATTTTGCTGGGAACTGGGAGTGAGGGGGGTGGGCAGGGAGAGTTGAGGGGAGTGGGGTGGGGCACGACAGAGCAGGGTGACGGCAGGGGGACCTACATCAGCTGACACTCAACTGAGCAAACCCAATCAGCTTCACTTCGTCAGGAATCTCCGACCCATCACAGCCAGAAGCCTGCAAAGGGAAAAAGAAACTTCAACGCTGGTTTGTCAGTGCTGCTGGATTTTAAAGACTTGTTCAGATCCAAGCAAAGGCATAGTCAGTATGGGACCATGTGTCCCATTTCTTCCAGAAGAGATCCCAAGAATCACTCTTTTCAATGAATCTGGCCACCCAGGACAGAGCAGAGGTGGGAAGGGATTTCTTTCTTACCCATTAAAACAACAGCACGCCCAGGGTGGCAGCTCTGGAACCACCAATGAGACAGATACATGACTGCCAAGAAACCGTGCGTGAATTTCCAATAACTAAATTTATGTTAAATATACTTTCCAATTAGATCCTCTTAATAGTAATTCAAAAAAGATTATTATGTGAAAAATAAGCAGACGAGATCTAACAAGTCACCCAGGGGTAACTTGGTTTTTACCAAAGTCACCTCTATTGTAAAACTTGCCAGGGGGGAAAAAAAAAAAAGGTCACCAAGTCCAGGGATGGCTCATTATAGACAACTGCTCTTTAAACACCAGTGAGTAAGTTTTACAAGGAACAGTATAACAGATTCTTTCCTGTAACAGAATTTTGTTTGTAATATTTTAGAACATTGCCTAAAATTGGCCAAAATTATGGTGTGTCAAATACTTTATTATTTTTCTTCAAAATCAGAAAGAACTGCAAATGAGCCATTGACCTTCAACCCTCTCACTGATCCTAATTAGTAAGTTATTTTTATTTTCTTAGTCACCTCCCCCCTCTTTTTTTCCTCTTTTACACACACACAGTACTCAGGTCAGCACTCTAAGCTGCGCCCTCACCCTATAGTACATAAATCTGAATTGGACATTATATAAGTACCACAAGTAGGGAGACAGAATTTGACGAATGATTGAGAATGGGCAATTATCAAAGGACCATGCAAACCTTTTTGGGTCTAATTCCTGCTAAATTGTCACAGCAACTAGTTTCCCATGGAAAAAGTCCCCTACCGATTGCCACAATCTGCCTAGCACTGCTTGTCTATGTTTAGAATGTTCAGAAAATGGTACATAAAACCAGCCTTTGTCAACTCTAGCATTTTCCATTAAATAAGCAGCTAACTAGAACACATACCTGGAATATTTTCAAATAACTGTCTTTAAAATAGCACTCAGTATAAGTAGTTATATAAGAAAGTCAGTAGCCTAAAAGGTAGCAATACAGAATTTACTTTGTGCCTGTCCAGTGATATCTCTAGTTTCACTTGACAGATAAGATATTCAGTGAAGCACAATTTTCATTGTTTGTGTTGACAGGGCCAGTGAGATCAGAAATGCTCCTTTCCTTATCAAAGTAGTACAGTCATTGAAGGCACGTCATTTGAGATATTTTCTAGTGCCATCACACTGACACTGTCATAGTCACCTCCCCCAGCAATTTTCTTGTTGCGATATCACTGTTTCTTTACCTCCCCAAACCTTCCCTTCTCTGCAGTGTAGCTCCTGCTACAACTCACTGAACGGTGGCAGAGACAATGTGTGTAATTAATAGGTGACTGACGAACATCCGAGGGCTACTGGTGATGACAAAAAGGTCAGATGGCAAGTGTGAAGTACATCCATGTAACCGTCGAAGCTCCATCAGAAATTTGGCAATGTATCAGGAGGTTAAAATGACTAGAATTTTAAAAATATCCAATGGTGGTTAAACTGACTAGAAATAAGAGTGATGGAAATGAGACCTTACAAAGAGAGTCAAAGCAGTGGTTACTGTGGGCACATCAGAGAGGGGGTCTGCAGAAAGCCTCTGTCCACCCTGGGTCCCCAGCGCCTCTGTCTCCTGGCCAGGTCCTCTGGCTGTGTTTGCCCCAAGGCTTGTGGCTCTCCCTCCCCAGTACCTCTGCTCTCTCTTCAGCCCTGCTCACGCCCTGTCCCTCTCACTTAGCCTGCGAAGCACAAATGGGGACAATATGAAAGGACTGAAATTCAGAGACACTTCCAAGCAGCAGGGTTCAAACTTTTGGGTCTCAGGATCTCTTTATAAAATGTTTGAGGACTCCCAAAAGCTTATTTTTATGTGGGCTATATTTATTGTACTGTCTTAGAAATTAAAACTGAAAAAATTTTTAAATATTTTAAACATATTTTAGTAATGTTAAAAGGTTATTTAAAAACAGACAAATTTATGTAGGTTGTGTTTATTATACTATCTCAGAAATTAAAACTAAGAAATTTTAGAAATATTCATTTACTAATTCATTAAATGTAACAACTCATTACATGCTAACATAAATAAAATCTTCATGAAAAATAACCACAGAAAAAATAACCCCCAAAATTTGACATTTTTGCAAACCTCTTTAATGTCTTGCTTAATAAAAGGCAGCTGGATTCTCATACCAACTTCGGTATTGAATCTCTTGCTTTATGTTGCTTTCCTTGAAGTACATAAAGAAAATCCAGCCTCACACAAATATGTATTAATAATTGAAAGAGGGAGTATTTTAGTAACTTTTCCAAATAGTTGCAGATATCATCTCCTACTACCCTAAACCCACCAAGTGATAGTTTCTTAAACGTCAGCTGCAATGTGGAATCTGAAACCATGGCATTGAACTTTTCGTACGGTTATGTTAAAACCCATTGGTCTACCTTGCATTTTGAATGGATCTTTTACCTGTGCATGATTTTAAGCATCACTGAGATATGCAGATCTTCCAACTGTTGACATATTTCATTATACAATATGAAAGTTTCATTATACAATGTCAACAAATCATATTCATCAGTATCACCCATCACCAGTCTCATCAGAAAAGTCTTTTAAGTTCTGGGGCGCTGTCAAGCAAGCTTACAGTGACAGATACAGGTTTTCTAAAATCCTATTTTTGCTTGAAAACTCAAATTTATTGACAACACATATTGCCAGTTTTTTCTTTTGTCAGTCTTACTTTGTTCACTTTGGGAAAAAAAAATCTCTGCCAAATACTCAAGACCGAATAACCACAGTTTCTCAGTTACTCTTCCACGTAAAAATAGTGTTTCATGAAAAAACAAAAAATAGCTAGTTAAGCACACAACAAAACAAGTGTTGTCCTGGAGACTGCCACTGTATTTCAGTATACTACAGGATTCCCATTTCATCACACAGAACATTAAAAAGATGTGTCCTAGAATTAAGATTTAATACAGTAATGTTCTCTGCCTCATTAGGTGAAACTTGATTTGCTTTTTTATAATAAGTGAGTGCACAGACTAAAGAATACAGTAACCACTAGCACAGTCTGATGTCACTGCCTTGGTTTGTGCCGACATCATCAGTGTTACCCAGCAGGGCTTTTACACCAGTATCAGCACAGTGCAAAAGGCAAGTTTAACATCTTTGTTATTAACAGTATTACTATGAAAAGAGTTTTGACATTCTCTAAAAGGGTCTCAGGGAAAATTACAAGTCTGAGACCCATCCACACTTTGTGAACCTTGGCCTCAAAGTGAAGGGAGTTCAGAACATGCCACCCCCAAATCTGCTGGTCTGGCATGTTGATTGTTTTGAGTTAAAGACACTTAAAAACAACAACATTATAAGGTGGAAGAAGGGCTCTCTGACCTTCCTAAAAGCAGGAGATAAAACTCCTATGTGGAAGGTGTTCTCCCTGCACCTGGAAGCAGAAAGATATTCTTATCATCAGAGGTGGGCAATCAAAGCTAAGAGACATGCGTGCAAACAAACCTTGTTAAACTAAGCCTTATGCTCCTAAGTCACTTCTCCACAATTAACTACCCCAGTCCAAGCCCCCCTGCCTTGTCACGTTTTCACAATTTACTGCTCTTTGTCCAACTTAATATGTGTTCCACTCTAATGGCTTTGGGTCTTCATTTCTTTATGAGGATTTCCATGTCATGTAAAACTTATTTATGTAAATGTGTTTACTTTGCTTCTGTTAATCTGTCTTATGTCAGTTTAATTCTTAGGCCTAGTCAAAAACCCTAAGAGGGTAGAGGTAAAATCTTCCCTCTACTACAAAAGGAAAATACATATAGTGTATAACACTGCACACATTCTCACTCAAGTGTATCCCAGGATTCCTGAAAAGCCCCAGCTCCTCAGCCCTCCTGCCAGACCAGCAGGTGTGGCCTGTGCCCCATGGAGGAGCTGAAGATGTGGTTACCCAGTGTCGATCATAAGGATTCCCTCCACCCCAAACGTGGACGTACTTTGGAATCGCCAGGAGAGTGTGAAAACATACCAATGCCTGTGTTCACTCCAGAGGTTGTCACTGAATTGATCCGGGGTGTGGCTGAGCACAGGTATTTTTTTCAGCTCCCCAGGTAATTCCAAACACTGCTCTGCCCTAGTCCTTCCCAGAGTGTGAAGCTCCACGTTTCCTTTAAAGCATTGGTTCTCAAACTTCGGCCTGGAGAGCTTGTTAAAACACGGTTTCCTCTGCCCCACACCCCAGACATTCTTATTCCTTAGGCCTGAGATGAGGCCCTAGAATTTACATTTTTATATCCAGTTTCCAGGTGAAGCTGACACTGTTGGTCTGGGGGCCACATTTGGAGAGCCATTGATTTAGGCTGGGAGCAGGAGGCAGAGCTGCCATACAGACCCACTTGAACTGGTAGTTTCCTTAAGATCTTTATCTCATTTTTCTCCCCCTTCATTAGGGGGACAAAGTTAAAACTCTTAGGGCGTTTTTATCACATTTAAGTCTTGATTTTACCTGCACTTTGGTTAGTCATGCAGCTTCCAACTACGCCTAAGTTGAGCGCCTCTAAAAATAAGTTCCTTTAGTCATTAATTGTCAAGATGCTTATGAAATTTCTATCTGAAATATGTATAATGTTATTAAACCTCAGTAACTAAAATCTATAATGCTCATGTAAATGTGTGCCAATTAGATGTTAATTACATGTACTTACAATTTGTATTCTATCTTCAAGGGCAAATTAAATATATCTTATTTCATGTTTCTACTAATGCAATTTCAAAAATTCCACATTGAAAGCAGCAAGATTTACCTCCATTATGAAAATGCAAGGTAGCAAATTAAAAGATGACTTAAAAATATTTATAAAGATTTGTCTCAAGGCTTACAAACA